ATTTTCATAGCTCCCCTGACCAATCAACCTACGTTTCTTCCTACCCTAAAATTGCATCTCTTCCACCTTTGATCACCCTTATTCTGTTGGCTTACTCTTTGGCGTATGACATTGAAAATTTTCAGAATAAATATTACTTTCTGATAATGAGCTATAGTTTAGTTATCAGTTTGAATTTCAATGTATTCCGTATTTCCATGTATCGCTTACTTTGGTCTCTACCTTTGGACGGCCTCAACCTAAAATATGTACAAGTGAAGCTATCCTCTTTGATGAACCAATACTTGAAGCACATGCAGTGGTTATTGAGAATTTTTGGATTAAGTTATTATCATTGAAGAACCAATAGTTGAATATCCTATATTGCCTAATGTTCTCTGTCACCTTTAGAGATGATTGTTGACTTATTTTTTCACTCCCATCATTATCGTGTTTTCCGTTATTTTCATTTCTTCAAACATTTACATGATATATGGGAACAGCTTCTATATCTGTTGCTAGTGTTAGTTGCATGAGTTGTGATTGATTGCCCTATTTTTTTATCAGATGTTCTTGAGCCAGTTCAACCACCTCCACCACTACATTCACTCAAATTCTTTAGAGAAAAGTGTTTTATAAATCAGGGGAATTCATGTAAGATGATCACTAGCCTAGAGAACCTATTTACATGTTTAGTATTTTTTTGTGTTCGTCTTTTATTGTATTTTAACACTCGTTGCTAAGTTCCAAGTCTTGGATGAGAAAAGTGGATGGTTGCGTTAGGTAGTCGACAACCAGCATAAAACTTGTAGAATAATTATGACATGAATCCTTTAATACATTGTGTTAATGCTAGGACATTTCCTGGAAGCGACACGTTGTATGGCCTGAATACAACGACAAGTGAGCAGGGGCCGCTGCATCGGTGCTTGGGTGCAATGATAAATAGGCAAGAGTTCCCACATCATGGATGGATGTGGGCAAAGAAGCTAGTCTATAAAATTAAAATTAGGATTAGAACTTGGAATATATGTTCCCTTGCAGACAAATTAATGGAATTAATAGATATTATGATCCATAGGAGATTTGCATCCAGTAAACTAAATGGGTTGGAGAGAAGGCTAAGGAGATTGATAGTTTAGGATATAAACTATAGTATTCTGGTAGGAGTCGTACTAGAAATAACGTAGGTGTGATTATAGATAAGAGTTGGAAATATAATGGTGTAAAAATTGATAGAATTGGAGATAGAATTATAACTTTAAAGATTGTTATTGATGCTAGGATTATTAATATTATAAATGCTTATGCTCCTCAATTAGGTTTGTATAATTGTTTAAAATTGAAAGTTTGGAATGACCTAGAAGAATTAATACAAAAAGATACCTCTCGAAGTAAGAGTTTTAATTGGAGGAGATTTAAATTAACATATTGGTAGAGAGGTAGATAATTTTAAAAGCATTCATGACGGCTATGACTTTGGAGCAATTAATGAAGGTGGTAAGATCGTATTAAATTTTTCTCTAGCTTATGATTTTATAATTGCTAATATCTTATTTAAGAAAAGAGATGAGCATCTCATCACTTATAAGAATGGATATAATAAAACTCAGATTGATTATTTTCTTATAAGAAAAATAGATCGTTTAGATTGTAAAGATTATAAAGTTATTCCGAGTGAAAGTTTATGTACCTAATATCGCTTATTAGTTTTGGACTTTAAGATAAAGGGGCAGAAGATAAAAATTAAAGTAAATCATTGTTCTAGGATTAGATAGGGACATTTAAAGAATATTAACAAAAATATTTTTAAGAGTAAGATTCTAGATCGTAAGATTTTGTCAGTGCATGAAGAAGCTATTGTTATGTGAGAAAAAATAGCTAGTGATATTAAGAATGTTCCAAAATATGTGCTTGGAATATCAAAAGAAAAAACTACTAATAGCAAAAATAGTTGGTGGTAGAATCAAAATGTGCAAGAAAAAATAAAAAATTAGAAGATTTGTTATAAAATTTGGTTTAGTTGTAAAAATTCTGATAATTGAGAAAGATATAAAGAGGTTCGTAAGGAGTCTAATAAAACAATTTGTAATTAAATTTTTTTGCTTTTAATGATTTATATAATAGATTATATACTAAGGAGGGCGAAATATATATGTATAAGTTATCTAAACAAATATATATGAGTAGTAAGGATTTAGTTCAAGTAAAGTGTATTAAGGATGAAGATCAAAAAGTGATTTTATTGGAAGAGGATATTCAACAAAGGTGGATGATATATTTTGCTAAACTTTTTCAATAAAGATTATGAGAATGTGATTGACTTTAGTTACCTTAGCACCCTAAATGAAAATAAAGGATTTTATTTTTATCGGCGTATTAATAAAATTAAAGTTAAAAAGGCTTTAAAGAAAATGAAGTGTGAAAAAGCTGTTGGATCTAATGATATTCCACTAGAGGTATGGAAATACTTAGGAGATGAAGGAATTTCGTGGCTTACTAAATTTTTTAATATTATTTTGAAGACGCCAGATGAGTGGAGAATGAGTGTGTTAATTCCTATTTTTAAAAAATAAAGGTGATGCACAAGATTGTGAGAATTATAGAGGAATTAAGTTAATGTGTCATACTTTAAAACTATGGGAGAGAGTTTTGGAGTATAGGTTGCGGCGTGACACTAATGTTTCTCAAATTCAATTTGAATTTATGCCTGGTAGGTCTTTTATGGAAGCTATACATTTATTGAGACATTTGATGGAGAAGTATAGAGAGAATAAAGAGGATCTACATATGATTTTTATTTATTTAGAGAAAGTATATGATAAGTTCCAAAAGAAGTGCTATAGAGAGTTTTACATAAGAAAGGGGTTAATAATGCTTATATTCAAGACATCAATGATATGTTTGTAGGAGCTGTTTCTTGTGTTCAAACATAAGGTGGTATGACCAAGTATTTTTGTATTTCAGCTGGATTACATCAAGGATTACCCTTAAGCCCATATCTTTTTGCTTTAGTTATGGATGTCTCACTAGACATTTACAAGAGGTTGTACCCTATTGTATGTTTTTTGCTGATGATATTCTTGTCGATAAAACTAGAGATGGAGTTGAAGGTAAACTTGAATTATGGAGCTCAACCTTAGAGTCTATAGGCTTTCATTTGAGTAGATCTAAAACTGAATATATGGAGTATAATTTTAGTAATAATAGATCTAGTGGGGAGATTGTGACTTTTGGTGATCAAGTCATTAATATGAGCACACATTTTAGATATCTTGAGTCTATTGTTCAGAGTGATGGTGAAATAGATGGGGGATATTATTAGCAGAATTTAAGTTGGATGGTTGAAGTGGAGGAATGCATCGGGCTTATTGTGCGATAGAAAAGTCCCCCTCAAACTTAAGGGAAAATTCTATAAGATGGTAGTGAGACTTACAATGCTTTACGGTGTAGAGTGTTGGTCATTAAAAGAGAAGCATAATATTAAGCTAAGTGTTGTAGAGATGAGGATGCTCAGGTGGATGAGTGGCTTAACTCTTAGAGACAGGATATGAAATGAGCATATATGTGAAAAGGTTGGTGTAGCTCAAGTAGAAGATACAATTAGAGAGAGTCGCCTTAGATGGTTTTGTCATATAAAACGGCGGCCTTCTTGTGACCCGATTAGGAAAGTAGATGTATTAGATTTGACTTATGTTAAGAAAGTTAGAGGTAGACCTAAAAATACTTGGTTAGAGAATATTAGACATGACCTTTCTTTATTAGATTTAAATGAGAATTTGATTCTTAACAGGACACAATGAAAAAAAATATTTATGTAGCCAACCCCACATAGTGGGATAAAGGCTTGTTGTTGTTGTAGTCTTTTATTGCATTTTACTTTTAATTGTGTTAGTCATGTATGCATATTTTTATAATTAGGACTTGTCATAGTTTTTATGTTGAAGAGGGCACGTCTCAAGTAACGGTTAAGCTGCCTCTAGTCTATTCTAGAGATCCTAAGTTTAAGTCAAGGAAATAAAGGGTTAAGATGGCATGCAACAATTCTTTACAAACCTTGCATTAGTTGGAGCTTCATGCACTACATGCCTTTTTTTTCATGATCTTCACGTTATTATTAGTTTTAGGTCTATTTTTTTTGCTTAAAATGAAGTAATGTTATTTTGGACATTATATAACCTTGCCCCTTCTTTAAATAAGAGCTCTACTATAAAAATGAATTGGATTTTATTTTTTATGGTTAATGAATGATGAAATAAATATCCCTTAGTAAATTTCATGCAGCCCCTGCTTTTCTAAGTGCTTCAGTGGTGGCTTTCCTTTGTTGCTATGTGCTTTCATAAGTATTAGGATCCTACATGCTAGATGCTAGGATCTTAATTTTTTTTTTTAATGTTCTTTTGTTTTCTTCCATGTCTTTTTTTTGGATTTGTTTTTATTTATCTTGTTTTTTTCCATTTTGGATTTCTTATTATTTATCTTGGATCCAATTTTGCTCTTTTCCATTTTCTATCAAAGGGCGTCTAACCAAGTTTTATTGAATAAATAAAATATAAAAAAGAAGGAAAACCAGCCAAGAATGCTAGTCATCATCTTGATGATCAAGCTAGCCCATTTTATTTGGTTGCATGTTACTGATTTAGTTGGTACTATCATGTTTAGAGTCTTTATCTTTTGTCTATTGGTCTATTCCTTATTTTCCCCAATCATTCCAGTTTAATTTTGTCCAGATGCCTTATTCTACCATTGTTGTACATGCTCCAATCACTCCTGTTTTTCATTATCTTATTTTCAAATATGAAAATTTCTCAATATATTTTTCTTAATTTTATTAAATATTATTCGTCTCAACTATATATCATTCACTTCCATCCCAAGTTACAGTTTCATAAAATAATTTGTAAATTTCTATCATATTCTCTCACCATACTATACATTTATGTAACTATAAATTATTGCTCTACACTTTAAAGAAGCAGTACCTGTTCCTTCTTATATGCTTATCCGAGAATAATTTGAAGGTTTGCTTGCACGACAAAGAAGGGGCGAGCTAAGGCGGTTGAATGATCAACTACGTCAGATCAATGCAGCACTAAGAAGGCAAGCAAAAATAGAGTCTTACGCTCCTAAGTTGAGCTATGCACCAGTTGGGAGGATAGCAGAATCAGAAATTGTTGTTGACCCTAAAAAAGAAGAATTAATTACAAAATTGAGAACAGGGAAAAATTATTTGCGGAATCATGAGCTTGAGAAGGCATTTGTGGAGTTTAAGACTGCTCTAGAGCTTGCAGAGGCGTTGGGGGATCAAGTTGAGAAGAAGAAAGCTGCAAGAGGCCTGGGTATGGTTTAGCTTTCCTATTCATTACTCTACTTTATGATAATTTTATGGATCAAGCATCAACAATAGCTTAAATTTCCCCTCTACGGCTTTGTTTGGGACGGCTTTCTTACTGCTTCTTAAAGCAGCTTTCTAGTATTACAATTTTAATTTTTGATCTAAAAAGTCGCTTTAAGAAGTAGTAAAAAAGCCGTCCCAAGCGAAACTTAAGTTTTGAATTGTTCCACGACTATGAAGAACACAGATTTGTTCATGAAGAAAAGTTTAAATCCGTACAACTAAAACAGTACTGTCTGAATAATATTATTATTATTTTTCATGCAGTAATAGAATATAAGGCTTCGTTTGAGACGGCTTTCTTATTGCTTCTTAAAGCAATTTCAAATTTTTGTATAGGAAGTTGCTTTAAGAAGCAAAAAAAAACCGTCCCAAACGAAGCCTAAGTCTCTGGAAGAATAATATACAATATTTCTGGACTTCAAATCCAACTTGTATGTTCTGTCTATCTGATTCTTGCATCTGCACAAATGATTTACCTTGAAAATGTTTCTGGCTGCTACTGGAGACGCCATTCTCAAATTTTTTTGCTATTTTTCCGTCATACAAAGATGCAATAACTCATATTCAGTTAAAATGGAACTTATTCAATCATTGTGGAGCTTGAAAATTTAGAAGAATACACAGCCTACAGGAATATTTACTTTCACCAAATTTAAAGAGCTTTCCCTGATCATGCTATTCTTGTAACGCAGGGGCATCTCTGCAGCGGCAAGGCAAGTACAAAGAAGCCATAAAATACCACTCCAAAGTTCTTGAAATAGCCAGCAAGGTTGGGGAAGACTCCGGCGCAACCGAGGCCTACGGAGCAATTGCAGACTGCTACACTGAGCTTGGAGACCTTGAGAAAGCAGGAAAATTCTATGACAAGTACATAGCAAGGCTGGAGAAAGACTGACAGGACTAAAGCGTTAACCAGCTTAGCTCATGCCTTCATCTCATCTTCTCCCACAAAGAATCGTTTGTTCAGTTTGAGCTTGACCTTATATGCAACGGCACATTTCTATTTTTGTACTATTATGGACTACTAATTTTTCTGTAGGCAATCTGTGAATGGCAATGATCCAATTTTCTTGTTGTTGCCCTCTTTTCTGCATTTTGCTGTTCCTTGAGCTTAAATCTGTTTGAGACAGATTCTTCTTCTTCTTATTATTATTTAATTTTTAAGATAATTGTCAAATTTTCTCTGTTATTTTTCAAAGTTTTTATCAGGATGATAGATTCTCATATCTGCTTCAAAGTTTTAATCAAACCACTCTCATATGAATCTTTACAACGTTGTGGTAAAGGTTAGTGTCATTAGGTTCTCCTGAGAAAGTGGATGATTAAGGGAATGATGATTACTCTTTGGCTTTGTTTGGTACTGCTTTCTTACTGCTTCTTAAAGTGATTTTTTAGTAAAAAATTAAAACTTTTGTGCTAGAAAGTTGCTTTAAGAAATAGGAAGAAAGCTGTCCTAAATAAAGCCTTTATCTTCAACATTATAAATAAGAATAGAGTTTTGAAATTGTTGAGTTTGCATTGATCATTGGTTTAAAATTTGAATATTTTTTTGGTGATGAGAAGCTTTAGGAGAGCAAGTGGCTTATTGAGATTTACCTCAACGGTAACAATAATTTCAAAATTCTAGACCTTGAAAATACCTTCATGAAATGTATAATTATAGAAGATGTTTGGAAGTTAGGTCTCTACTTTGTTGTGGAAGGGCTTCTCAATCATGAAAAGAGTACTGCTATTTCTATAATGATGCTAGCATTAATGGAAGATAATGCATAATTTTTTTGATACTCATAGGGAAGGATGTCAATGGAGAAGACACTGAGGAGGCTGAACAAAGATATGATCTATATTGAGGGAAATATTCTTAAGGTAGAAAAATGCAAGAAAGAAAATAAGAGATCTTTTTTTCACCCATTGAGCCATGAATTAAAAATCATACACCGACTAATGAGGATATTATCAAGGAGATATAATAGATTACTTCATCTATTGAGATTATAAATAAATAGTATGTATAAAGGGTTGACATTATAAATAAAAAGTATGTACAAGGAGTTGCATACAAGAGTATGCTTAAGAAAACTAAGAAGTATTTAGCTAGAGATTTCATAAATTCATTTAGCAAGAAACATGAGCTAGTGAATCTATGTGCCATTGATCCACTCCCTCTAATAAACGAACAATAATTATCTTACTTTAAAACTTGGAAGATAGAAATTATAGATAAAGCAAAAGAAAGGGAGACTAGAGAGGGAAGTGGCAACACGTGGTTTTAAAAAATAAATTAATGCAAACATTGCATGATTATAGTGATACAAAATTAATATACTTATTTTGGTTTCATTGTAATTAACACAATAAGACTCATTGTAATACTTATTACAATAGTGCTACACCTGTTCTGATCTGGTCCGGTAAATTATGCGTGTTGAAACTTCTACATTTTTCTTTGCATGTGTTTTTGAGTACTTAGTATCCATGTGAATTTATGAAGTCTGTTCTAAAGCGGGTCCTAGGATTCTATGTGCATGAAAATCAAAACATACAATTTTTCTTTGGGAGCAGTATGTCATTGGGGTTTTAGTGCCGCAATGTTGATATATCTATATATTTGAAGAATTGGGGAACATTGCGGTGCTAAGTTGAGCGTTGCAACATCGTGCTCTCTGTAGAAGGGCATTGTGACGCTGTTATTTGTAGCACCGTGACACTAGATCAATTTTTTATAAAAAAAGTCAAAATCCACTTAGCATCCATTTTGGTATTTCCCTCCCGCTTAGGCTGGCTGAGAGAGAGAGAGAGAGAGAGAGAGAGAGAGAGAGAGAGAGAGAGAGAGAGAGAGGGGATAATTTGGACCATTTTTTACTGTCAACCCAATTCATAATATTGGTTGGAACGAGGTAGGTTGCACTTCTTATCTCAGTTTTTAATAATGGGGAAAATTTAGATTTTTTTTATATTAAAATTATAAATTCATACTATAAAAATGGGGATAATTTAGGATCAGCTAAACTTTTATTATATAACTTTCTGTATGTTATAGATATGAGTATTCTGAATATTTTGATATTTTCTTTTAAAATTTTTATATGGTAAATTAAAAAGTGCACTATCTCTAGCAAATTAGAAAATTATATTGACCTAAAAAATTAACAGTGTTGAATATTTAAAGCTTAAAAAAATATTCCGAACAATCCTTGATAATTGATAAAGTTCTGAAATTATGTCATTCTGCTCAGTTGCTGAATTTATGGGATATTGATATAAGCATTTTGTGAATTCTTGTATTTTGGCTATTTCTAATTTTCTTATTAAAATGTAATTATGCATGTGCTTATTTACTTGAAAAGTATTATTATAAGGAATTTTTATATTGAAGGAAGTTCTATTGTGCTCAATGCACTGGGAGCTATAAGGCCTAAATTTATAAATATCAAATGCGCTAAGTATTTAGGAGTCATAAGAGTTTGTTTTCTAATATTCTAGCATATGGAGTCATAAGGGCATGAATTATGATATCTATTTTTGATGGGAGACATAAGTGCCTGAGAGAACTTTATTACTTTCTGCACTAATATATGAAATACTTATTTATTTACTTTTATTGCAAAGTTTATTTAATTTCTACGTTCTACCTATTTTATTCACTATAATAGCCTGCTATTAACTGCTGTCAAATAAATAATGCATATTGGTTAGAGTATTAATAATTTATATAAGTGGGTCTGATCGATGTGTTGGCTCACCTCTATTCTGCATTCTGTTTCAAGTCAGTGGCAAGGTAAGGAGCTAGTTGGTTAACTAAAGTTACATGTTTTGATCTTTTGAGTTTGTGTCGGTATTTTTTTTTTTTTTTTTTAAATTTTTATGATTTTGTATAGTTATGACTATTATCCGTTATGTTTTGCTCTATAGTTATATATAATAGTGTAGGGCATCGTCACCCTCGACGACATGAGTACATAATATTTTGTTGTATATACATTTTAAAGATGAATGAAATGAAAAGAAATTATGGTTGAGCCTATATTAAGTTTATTAAAAGTTATACATTTTATGAATTCCTGTATTTTGGTTATTTATATTTCTCTCATTAAAATGCAATTATAAATGGCTTATCTACTTAAAATAGATGATTTTGAGAAGCTTTGATGTTGGAGGAAGTTCTATTGTGTTGAATGCACTTGGAGCTATGAGGGCTTGATTTACTAAATTTATAATGTGCTAAGCATTTGAGAGTCATAAGGGCCAGTTGAGTGGTTAAGATTATATGTTCTGATCTTTTAAGTACGTGTTAGGTTTTTTTTTTTTTTTTAATGATTTTTTATATTCATGGCTATTGGTTGTTATGTTTTACTTTATAGTTATATACTGTAGTGTAAAGAATTTGTTGTATATACATTTTGAAGATGAATGAAATGAAAATAAATTATGATTGAGCCTATATTCATTTTATTAAAAGTTATACATTTTATGAATTCATGTATTTTGGTTATTTCTATTTCTCTTATTAAAATGCCATTATACATGTGCTTATCTACTTAAAATATATGATTTCTAAGAAGTTTTGATGTTGGAGGAAGTTCTATTGTGTTGAATGCACTTGGGGCTACGAGGGCTTGATTTACTAAATTTATAATGAGCTAAGAATTTGGGAGTCATAAGGGCTAGTTGAGTAGATAAGATTATATATTTTGATCTTTTGAGTATGTGTTAGGTTTTTTTTTTGTTTTTCTAATTTTTTATATTCATGGTTATTGGTTGTTATGTTTTACTTTGTAGTCATATACTATAGTGTAAATAATTTGTTGTATATACATTTTGAAGATGAATGAAATGAAAAGAAAATATGGTTGAGCCTATATTCAGTTTATTCAAAGTTAATTAGTAGCTCTGTTATCGATTAATATTTTAAAAGAAATATGAAAAGTTCACCAAAACTAGATATTGGGTTTAGTTTGCCATCATCCAACACGATATGAGCCATTATGTCTGTGGGTTATATCGGGTTAGTTGTGACACTCATTTTGATCTAAAGTTTGCAAAACTTACCTTAATCCTTTAATTAAACTTTTAAGGTTTTTGAGCCTATTTGAAGGGCATTGAGTTCATTATAAAATATGATATTGCTTTATGGCTACAAAATCATGCTTAAATAAGTGAAATTCAATGATCCTAACATTTATATATGTTTATAATCTAGATTTATGTATCAATAATATAAAAAAAATAAAATATTTAAATGAAGTTCTGATTTCATATGCTCCATAATAATAAAAAAAAATTAGAGAAATATGCCAACATTTATTTTCTTGGTTAAATATATGCATAATTTCCCTTTGGATAAAAATACCCATACTTTTAAACATATAGTGGAACCCTCTTTGAATAATGTCATGCCAACTTTAGAGTATAAAAGCAACATAACCCTTTGTCTCCCAAGTTCCTTCTCTTTTTTGATGTGCGTGCTCTGATTGTGATAATTTTTCATGGTGGCGGCTGTGTTTATTTATCATTTGTGAAGTTCATAATATTATTTGTCTGATTTATTTATGAGAGGATGAAATGTAGGAGAGAAAGGAAATGGTTTAACTATAAATCCTAACTCTAATGTTTATAGACATACTATAAAGCCATAACGCCTTTAGATATCATATTACTTACTAAAACATCTTTAAATAATGATATGTTTCTATTTAAGCTTTCTTTGAATAATGATTGATTAATCTTTGGCTATGATTAATCATTGTTTGAAAATGTTTTGATAATCTTTTGATCATTGTTTCAAGATGCTTCAAATAATGGTCCAACTTCTTTGAAGATGCTTCATATCATGACCTAGCCTAGCGGCCTAAATTAATGAGGTGGGAACATACGATAGGGCGGTTGATTATATTTTTATCTACTAGCTAACTATTTTCAATGCACTGTAAGAGCCACTAAAACCTCAAAATTTTATCTACTTAAAATAAAATTAATGAGGTGGGAATGGCTACCAGTTAACAATCTATTACAAAAATAATCATCCTAGAAGTAGT